CCCCACTCCCATCAGTCTGCGGTGGCCTGTGCGTGGCTGGGACGGGGACGAGGAGGAAAGGCCTGAGGACTTCTGAAAACCCTGCAGAGCAAGAGGGTCCGGTTCACGAGGACGGGAGCTGACGGGGCGGGCGAGGGTGGCTGTGAGCGAGCTCACAGCCATAACACCAATGGCCGTGACCCCCCCAGAAGCGATTGCTTCAGGGTCCGGCTGATGAGGGTGGCGGTCATGCCCATGGAGCTATCTGAACCACACGTCAGACACTGTACCCTCAGCACCGGCAGGAGTTGGCCTGACCTCTCTCACACCACCTGCGTGTGTGTGTGTGTGTGTGTGTGTGTGTGTGTGTGTGTGTGTGTGTGTGTCTGGACGAGGCAGAGTGGTGCTGGGTTCTCATTTCCAGGCAGATGTATGCCCAGAACTGGAGAGGCTCTAGCCCCGATGCTCCACCGCCGATGGGGATTTGATGGGTCTGCTCCAGCCTCGACAACAGAGTGGGTTGTTCCCGGCTGGGTGGGGCTGGCTGACACAAAACACTGGACCCCCTTGCTGGGGCTCGTCCCACGTGGACAGCAAGAGGGTGCTGATGGCAAGTTCGGCTACTGGAGTGTTTGGCGATTGATGGAAGATCAATTCTGGGAGGCACAGTGTTCTTTCTGTGGACGGAGTCCTCGCGCTCCCCACTGACCCAGCTCACTGACCACATGGGTGGCCTCATCCAGGGGTGGGTCCCGGGTGATGATGGGGCCACGTCTGTCATGGTCGGCAGGGTTTCCCTGGCGGGGTTGGGGAAGTCCCTGTCCAGATCTGCTCTGTAGTCTGCCTGAGTCTGGAAGCTCTGCTGGAAGGTGGCCCACGGGCGTACTGCTGCTGCTGCTGCTGCTCTGAACACCGGTGCCAACACCGAGCCCAAAGGACATCCCTCTGAGAGCGGCCAGACGGATGGACTGTGGGGGTGTGCATGGTGGCCAATGGAGCCGCTCCTCTGTGGATCGCCGAGACATGTAGGTCTGTGCCAGTGAGAGGATGAAGGGTTACGTCACCACCAGAGCGAGCCGGGTGCCCCGGCCACACGGGGCTCAGGAGAAAGAGCAGGAACTGCCCCAGGTAGGGGTCGGGGTGCAGTCTCCTGGGACGCTTTCGACCACACCCCCCACCTCTGCTTCCTGAGTGTGTCCGACTTGAATTCCTACTGTTCTTGAGCTTTTACAAACCTGTGATGCACCTCCGACCCAGTCTCAGGAAAAGAGGCAGAGAAAGACCCACCATTTTCCCTCAGC